GTTCTACCAGAACACCAACAAAGGCCTGAGCGCGAGTCATGATATCGAAGCCTGAGTAGGATAGATTCCATCCGCTGAGGTTCAGGAGTCGAGAGCCTTGGAGCTTCCATTACGAGAGTCCAGCAATGTCGATTTGGTGCTTTATGGCAGCTAGCTCTTGTTCTTTACCCCTGAGTAGGGTTGTGTTCCAATTTCCAACTTTAAACTTCCAATGGTGGTGTCGTTCTCGCGGACTCTTTTTTGATGTGCTATAATGGCATCGCGCTGTCTGCCTCCTCCGTTCAAAACGGATCGTGACTCCGTTGCCGGCAGATATCTTCGTCGTCGTTGCGTCGGTCTTCGTCAGCCGTCGTTGTGCTGCCACGTCCCCGGTTGGCAGAGGTCAATGAGCAGGTTCTGATCGCGGACTTCTCGCAGTCTGCCTCAGTCCCTCAACTGTGTGCGCGGCCCCTGGGTACCCGGGCGACGACCGAGTCGGTATAATTTTCGATTATGTTAGTACGATGAAGGGCAGTTGGCTAAATTTAACGGTGACTTGCCACGGCCTCCAATCCTCCTCCTTTCTCATCTGGGCTATGGATCGGCAACGGCGGAGTTGAATCACATCCTGTTGCCATTAAACTCTGTCGACCTTCGCATTTCTTTATAATTTTCATCTTCATATCCAGATCAATTTTTGCACATTTTTCACCGTTCGCCGGCAGACTCGAGCATTCCGCTTTTAAAAAGCTGCCACTCGGTTTCAACATCAGTTGTCATCTGGGATCTGTTCAAACCGTCGTGCAATGTTGCTTGCAAATTTCGCTCTCGTGTCCACCGAAGACACTGTTTGCCATTTGATTCTCCGGTTGCTTCTGCCACCGGATCTTCGTAAGGTACTCCACTTCTTACAGCGCAGCGTGCCAACAACAAGGTGATGATCGGTTGATAGCTCTGCGCCTTTTTTAACATGAACATCCATTACTGAGCGTCTTAGGTCAGACGATATGATTACCAAATCGATCATCGACTTCTGTGCACAAGCTTCCCGGTACCAGGTACACGACTTCACGAATTCTCGGTGCCAAGTATACTGATGCACTCTTCGATGCTTGAAGAATGTATTCATAATGGACAATCGGTTGTCTGCAAAAAACCTCAACAACTTAATGCCGTTGTTGCTGAGGTCGCTAGGGCCGTTTTTTTCCAATCTCGCCGTTCCACTCTTCAACGTCTACTCCGACATGCGCATTAAAATCGCCCATCAGTATGACGGACTCTGTATTCGGCACATCGGTCAGAGCACACTGCACCTCCTCAAGCAAGGTCTCATATTCTCCCTGCAAATTGAGCGCATATTTCTGTAACATGGTTATCGTTTTAGCCTGTTCTAGCTTTGGTCGGACGATTGCCGCCCTACCGCTGATATGTTTCCATTCAATGATTCTATCAGCGAAGTTGTGTTCTACCGGAACATCAACACCGGCCTGCACGCGCGTCATCATATCGATACGTGAGTAGAATAGCTGCCACCCGCAGAGGTTCAAAATTCAAGAACCTTGGCGTTTCGTTGACGACAGTCCAAGTATGTCGAGTTGGCACCTTATGACCCCATCAGCTAACTATTGCTCTTTCCCTCTGAGTGAGAATATATTCCAATTTCCCACTGTAAGCTCCCACTGGTAGTGTCGTTCTAATGGACCCTTTTCTGGCGTGCTATATTGGCATCGCGCTCTCTGTCTCCTCCGTTCAGAACGGGTAGCGACTCCGTTGCTGACTGATATCTTCGTCTTCGTTCCGTCGATTTTCGTCATCCTTGTTATGCTGCTACGTCCCCGGCTGGCAGAGGGCAATGAGCAAGTTCTGATCGCCGACTTTTCGCAGTCTGTTTCAGTCCCCCAACAACCTGCGCGGCCGTTGGTAACCCGGGCGACGACCGAGGGGGTATAATTTTCGATGACGTCATTACCATGAAGGGCAAGTTTCGAACTTTTGAGGAGACTTCGCCAAGGTCTCCAACTCTTTTCCTTTCCCAACCGGCCCTGGGTTCGGCAATGGCGGATCTCTTCAAATGGTACAACAAATAATTCAGTAATGTAACTAGGAGCTGCGTTTATTTTTGGAATTGCTCAGTTTCGAGAAACCTTTCGACTCATCTTACCTTGGTCCGTATTGGATGCCTGTGGGTCAGGACATCAAATGTAGAGGATGCCTCACCATCATGATTTGGAAGAATGCTGCTGCTAGCGTGAACCTACACGAATCCCAAAGAACCTCTTAATCGAGGACATGCAAGAGGGTGATGCATATCAACGAAGTTATTTACGCAGACATAAAAGAGGTTTTCAAAACTGGACTGAAGAAATATCGGCTCTGTTTAAGAGATATACAGTTTGCAAACGGTTGTCCGATCCTCTGCAGGGCATCAGAAGAACTCTGCAGAAGATTATAAGAACGTTTCTAGGATAAAAACATGACTAATAATGAACCTGAAGAAGACGATTTAACAATTACATTACCCCTCGACATGCTGATTAATTCTGAGGAGATACAAAATTATGTTTATCTGGGACAGAGAATCTTTGCTACGAAGAACCGTCTGTGTGAAATCAGCAATGCAATAGAAATGGAGTGAGCACTTTCGGAAGACCGACTATGTTTCAATCCGTACAACTGCCGTTGTCCTTGAAACGGAAGAATTTTTTATCAGTGTAGGTTGTCAGTGATAACCTATGGGTGAGTAACGTGACTCTAAGCTGACGATTACGTAACACATCATGGACAGATGTTTTTTTGGAATAACAAAAAGAACGGGAAGACGAATGAATGACCAAGAGCGCAAGCAAAAGTCTGTGATGTCATCTTCCGAGTGAAGAATTTAAAGTGGCAACGGGCATTGCACTTTACATTTTACAAGAAGAATCCACCATTGCTGGGCCAGATAATCATTAAAGCAGCTTCCATGAGAGAGCAAACGGACTGTAGGAGACCGCCAGATTGATGCAAGATGAGCATAGCAACAAGAGCTGCAAAAGCTCGTTGAATCAGGATGGAAACCGGTAACATAAAGCCTAAACTGCAAGATCTCTTAGATGCCTTCATGCAGCAGTTGATGTAAAAGGACAGCTTCTGACGATGATGAAGAGGAGGAGAATGAGAATGAGGATGAGGGTGACGACGAGAATGAAGAGGAGAGTGAGGGTGACGATGATGATTGCTGTTGAACTGCATGTACCGACCACCATTTGGCTCACCAGGCCAAGAGAAGATGATACATAGGGAAACGTTTGCGTGTGGAAAACTCAAATTTTCGAATTTCCTCGTGCAGTCACCTACGCCCAGTGGAATCATAATATAAGAATGGAAGTCTTCGAAATTCCCATGTTTGACGGAAACATGGTATCCGAATAGTTCACCGACCCACAATTTGTCGAAAAGAAGATTCACCGACTTTACAATTGTTGTTGGTGAAGTTTCCGTCTGTGAATTGCAGCTAGTGAACTTTCTTAGATCCCATATAATTATGTAAATCTTTGACATTCACAAGCTTCACAAATACTTTCTATTGTTTAAATCGAAACGGAAGCTTCCCAACCGCCATTGGCGAATGGCCGGTCGAGAAATTTCATTTAGTCTGATGTCTCACGTTTGGGATACGCGACAGTGTTATCATTTTTGTATTATACCCACATACCTTTCCATAAATGCATAATATTTAAGGATAGGCGTCAATTTCAGCGAAATAATTGGTGCAGGTGGGATCGTTCTAATTAGATAGATTCATATGTGTTGACATAGAAGTGCGAATTGACACAAATCATCTGTCTGCGTTCAAGCAACCATCTCTGAAAAGTCAAAGGCTGATGTAGGACAAATATAAAGCTCATAAATTTTACGGAATTCAGGCGGGAAACTGTGATAATTGGATCATGTGATGAGAAGAAATGGCGGTAGCATGGATAGAACATTACTGGAAGGTCTGACACAGAGACATCTGGTCATAAAATAAGAATGAGATGATGGAAAAGATGACTAGATGCGACGCAAGACAATACATCATGTTGTCTGACCAGAAAGTGCAAGCAGGAATACAAAGTGGACTGTTTCAGTGGGAAGAACAGAAAGAAGCCGACAAATCAGTGAAGGTGGCGAGCAGTAAGTTCCCTCAAACCAAAAAAATTCAAGTATCGTGCTTCCATGCTTCACGACAACAGAGACGATCGAAAAATGCAGCGGCGTGCGGTTCAATCAGAAGAGCACATCAAACTAAAGGGAAGGTTTACAGAGCGATAGTAAGACCGGTACATCTATATGAAGCAGAATGTTCGGCAACCTGAGGTGACGGCTGTCACGAGCGACATTCCGTAGGATTGCGAATGTTTTGATGGAAGTGTGGTGTCAGGGAAAAGAACCACATGTGAAATACCTACGTTAGCGGCTCATTTGTTGTAGCACCAGTTACATAGCTGATTGAAGGTAGAGTCGGTTGGTTTGGCCACATGAAAAGAAGATCCGATGAGTACCTTGGAAATGTGGTTTGAGCAGTGATACTGCTAAAAGAAGAACAAAGGGAGGGCAAAGGAAATATTCCTTGCAGTACGATATGGAACTGCAACGAACGGCAAATGATTTGGCCAAAAACCGAAAAACATGGAAGCACTTGACTTTAATTGCGGACCCCACATGAAGGTTACACGTTCGGAAAAAGATGCCTAGGCAAAAGGAAAAACAATTTTTCCCTTTGAACAGATTACGACAGCTGATGATGGTTGAACTTAGGCATCAAAGAAAAGTTTTAAACGCTTGTGTAATTGGATTTGCTGAATGTTAAAAGTAGCATTCGCAGCAACCAGCTAAATTAGATCCACGGAGATCCTGTCATTAGCTACGTTACGGGCCTTACCGGAATCATAAAAGAGCTGCACTAATCAAGATCGAATATTTCTGTCAGCCGGGCCCGTAATGAGGAATGATTTACAACAGGATTTTCACTTTGCGGAGAACTCGATGTGTCTGGCACCACGACGGGGCCACAAGTAGGCGACACCGGCAGAACTACTGGAGAAGTACGCCGCATTGACGAAGATTAGAGACTGTCAGCCGCACCTACAGTAGAAGTACTTTAAGATCAGATTCGATCTTCAGGTCTGAGAAGAAGTGGTTTAAAAAACAAGTAGAAAAACGCAGATGATTATTAAGAAGAAAGCCAAGAAGATGAATCGTATAAAAGGATCATTCCACGTTGTACACAGATACTGCAGTTGACTTTGTGGTCCTTGTCACGGCTATCATAATCACTTATTTAACCGGCTCCAGGGACTTTTCAAATAGCTGCTTTTCATTTTTGTCAATGAAGCGCTATGTCCGCCATCAAGCTCAGCCAGTTCTTCCTTCAACCGGCAGTCCTTTCTCTTACGCCAATTCTAACGGTGTCTCACCACGTCTTAAAATTACCGCCTCTTTACCGTACCATTCAAAGATCGCAGTGGTGTTCAATAAAATTTAGTATACGTCCAGTCGACACCTCTGAACATGCCCAATCCAAAATAGTCGTCGTCGTTTTTACGGTAACAAGAAACTAAATAATGTGGCAACGGCTATAGCTAATGTTATGCAGTTTAAGTCTCTACGTGGAGCATTTCTTGCTAATTTCATATTTCTTGCTTAGTATCACTCGATTTCTCTCGCAACTCGTGAATACTACTATTATTGACCGTTAGATGGTGTCAACACCTCACTAATTTTTACTGATTGTGAAAATATGATGTTCAGAAGGTCTCTATTACGTTTCTTGATGCGAGAATCAGAGTAATGCCAAGGATTGTATCGAGTATTATTCAGCCTTCGCTTATTTGCTATATATTTTGAAACACAATAATATGGAAAACTGTTTTAAAACTTAGGGATAACAGGAAATTGCTTACGTGTTTAAATCCAATGAATAAAGGTCTGCTCAAGAGGCATGGAGCATTCTTAACAAGACTCTTTATACGATCCTCGGTAGCAAGCAGCCGTTCATTAACATATACAATACAAATGAAAGATGAAAAATATGGAAGAGGAGACGTTCGATTTCGAAATATGTTAAACTTTATATCATATGGCCAGTGACGACTATTTGAATACGAGCTGATATGTAACAGGGCCATTTTGCCAATGGCGGAGTAAGCTGAGAAACAGGTTGGCTAAAATACTGGTTCAGCTGCGTATCACATTCAACGCTAACTCATCGGCGTGACTCATTTTGCTCAGTGTGTTTCCCATTCAGATGGAAATAAATCATGCACGTTCGCAACCATCTTTAAATGCGTCAGTTTCTGTCAAGCATGCCACTGATGGAAGGAGACCACGAACTACCAGCACTGGTGGCAAGAAACGGTAACCCTTGCTAATAATGACGAATATAATTTTCTTACGAAAATCGTCATTATACAAAAATTCATCATGGATTCCTATCTTTTTCTGATTGGTTTTACGATTCCGACTTATCCGACAAAAGGAG